TAACGCCACACATGACGACAGAATTCACACCATTTGAATTTACAGGCACCGAGCGGAACTATCGACAGCCCTGACCACGCCATTGAAGATAACTTATTCGTATGACGATTACAAGAATTACGAGAGAAGATCCGTGCAACGAACCAAGTAGCGAGAGAATATGTAAAGCAAGAAAAGATAAAATCGAAACAGTACTACAACCGAAACGCGAAGATGAAAACTTTTCAAATAGGCAAACAGGTTCTACGACAGTTAGACGAGGACGCTCAAAGAAATTAGAAGCGCAATGGATCGGATCGTACATAATTATCGAAAAACTGTCTGAAGTAAATTACAAAATAAAAATGGGTCGCCATATGATAACCGTGCATGCAAATCGAATAAAAGCATTCGCGGAAAACTAAAACTAATAAATAGAAATAAAAGAAGACTCACCAAAATAGGATTCCAAGGAAGCACCCTGAGAATATCCAATAAAATACAATAAAACTTGCGCACTACACACTACACACTAAAAGAATAAATTAGATTGCACTAAATACAAAACAAGCAAAAAACTAAAATAACTGTGGAAGGGTTAATGGAAGAATTAATTAAGAGAGGAGAGATTTTCGAATTTTTCTTCCTCCGGAAAATCAAATAACAAATTTTCGTCAAAAACCGTAACTTCCTCCGGAAAATCACTCTCAATGGGCCCAGGAAAAGTAATAAACGGGCAGACTCCGATGATTACGTAGGCTGAGGAACATCGTCACCCGTTTCACCACCAAAAAAAATCTCAGAAAAAATAAAAATGCAACCGATAATAAAAGATCCGTTAGAATTAACAAGATTAAGCACAAAAATAGATGAATTGATGATTAAATAAGCAACTAGATGAGGACCCGAACGTGTTCCAAAACGTACATTTTACCTACCCCATTGATTTCAGCGGAATATTAATAATTATAATTGTAATAGGAATAATAAATGTAATTATAAGAAAAAAGAAAGCAAAAAATATAAATAAAAATAGCGAACTGGGCAGAAGAAATGAAAGTTCACGATTTTAAAATTTTATAAATGTATCGGGTTGAAGAATTTTGTAATGCGAAAAACTCCGTTTTTCTTTCCCGGCAAGGGAGGAGTGTTGTAGCCCGAATCATTTCTTACATTATTTATGCTATTACTTATCATATTATATCCTCATAATCATTTTCGAATCTCGGAATAGCCGATGCTACGGAAATGCCGGCTGGAAATGCAAGTATGAAAAGCAAGTCTACAAATTCCAAAGCAGAATGCGAACGAGAAATTTGTGAGAGCACGCCATTTTGACCATATATGGTCCGATTTAGAATTATAACGCGACACTACTAGAATACTATAAAAACGCTAAATCACCGAGAGGACAGTCACAGTAACAGGGCAGTTACTCGTTGCAGCCAGTCGTTATCAGTAATAGCGAGAGTCACACGAAACATTCAAAAAGTCATACCAATAAATCAGTTACTTAACAAAAGTGAGTAATAATGTTTGGCCAGAAGAACCGTTCACCTACGATCCTGCTCGGCTACTCCTAAGACTCGGCGAACCTGATTTTTCCTAATTATAATCTTGTAACTCAATCCGGACTACAACAATATTATTATGTCCGCGCGAGTCTTCCGCGGCTGAATGAAATCGAGCCGCCGTTGGAGAAAAAGCGAAGCGCTTTTCGAGGCAACGAAGTGTTGTTTATATGAATTGTTCTGCGCGGTGACGAGGTGAACGGACGTCCGTTGAATTTCTGTAGTTGCTCTGTTTAAAATAAAGTCTACATTGTAGTTTTGTAAAAAAAGTGTTGTTCATTACCGAGCACGGTTTCTTTGTACGTGCGTGCGGTGTCGTGAAAGAGTGCGTAAGAAGTGACTGCCGCGGACGTAACAATATCTTTACAATTATGAAAGCAAGTAATATATGTAGCAATATATGCAATATATAAGCAATATGTGTATCTACGTTTATTAATTTAAAGTTTATTTATAACATATATTGCTTTCTTTCGTAATTGTAAAGATATGATAAATAGATCTGATAAATTAACTTACGTATAACGTATAACTATGACACAATACTGTAACAATACTGTGACGTCTCGCGAGAGTCGCGCATCATGTGTCATGCATCGGTCGCGTGCCAAACAATTAGAATCGCGATCCGCGACGCGGTGCAAGAAGAAATAATTTTCTCGCTATTGAAAGCAATCACCGGACAATATATCTAGGCGAACTTTCGCCGAATCAGTACTCAATCTCGAGCTCTGCAAAGCTTACAGAACAGGTTTTTTGTTCCGATGAAAAGTCGCTTCCGCCTCTTCGACGACCGAAAAGTCGCTCCTCCTCGCCAACTGTAAAGTCGCTCCTTCGCCGATCGCAAGGTCGCTCTTCCTCACTGACTGCAAAGTCACTCCCCCAACCACCGCAAGAGCGCACCCTTGCCGACTGCAAGATCGTTTTCCCGTCGACCGGAAGATCGCCACCTCTCGCCAACCGCGAGGTCGCCTTCCTCATCGACCGGAAAATTGCTGCCTCCTAGTCCGCCGACAACCGTCGCTATTCCGATTCCAGAACGTCCCTTTTCGGCACGAGGGCTCTCGCGGCGTAAAAGAAAGCTCATTCGAAATCTTTTCGGAC